GAAACAGAAAACTTTAGTTTGTTCTTTTTTTTCTCATTTTGTGTCGTAAGTATTCTATAAAATTATTGTTCTTTAATTACTGTTTGCTGTATCTTTTACAAAGTGTTATACGCCAAATAATAAGTTTGTAGATCGGCTATTCAACAACAGATTTCATACTTTTTAACGTAAAATGTTTAAAATGTTTTCTTTTTTTTTTTTTGGTATTTTCACTTGTCAGACTAAGTTTCGGTGTTCCATCTGCAATATTTACTTCACTATACTAGCCGCTCAGAAGAGCCAAAGTTGGAAAACTAAGACGGAGAAAGTGGGTGCCTCAAAGATCTGAAAATCGTTGCAGTCAAACGGTTTTTTCTGATGAAATTAATGAGAAGAAAGGTAAATAGCAAATCTGTTGTTTTTTAGTTATGTTTACAATTAAAGTATTGAACTTCTGTTTTATTCCTTTTCCTTTTTTTGCTTTCAACTTCTTTTCAACTTTCTTAGCGCATTTTTTTAGCTTACAATAAATCCGCTGGGAATTTATAAGACAGAAACTGTCACTGATATGTCAGACAAAAAATGAAGCAAAATTATAGTTTTAACAAAAAAACAAAGTTTTTTTTTAAAAACTATAATTTAACTCTTCGGTCAGGAAGTATATGACGTTTTTTGAAGACCAAATAAGACAATGCCAAAGTATACTAGAAAAAAAGCGCTTTAAATATTTCTTCTTGACTGATTTATGCAATTTTGATAAATCTACTGACTATGTTATAAGTAATTTAAATGTATTAAACGACAAGTCTTATTGCCTGCTTCTGCGATAATCATTTAATAAATAAAGTATTAAAGCTGTAAAATTCAGAAAGAAAAAAGGTAACTTTGAAGGAACTGAAAGATACTGTCAATAAATTTTCCTTGAATTAAAAGTAAATAAATGTTATAAGAAAGAAGAAAGATACTTTATCAAAAACATATTACAGGTTTTTAAAGTTATTTTTTTCATATTTTTATATTGACTTATCACTGATTTATTTTCTTTCTGTAAAATTGCTTTTTGCCTGTTTTTATAGTTGGTCAATTGAAAAACTATAAAAAGTTTTTATAAGCAGAAAAAATTGATTACTGTCTGCAGTAAAACAATTACGAGAAGTTTTCAATGCATTAACAAGACTGTTCACCATTTGTTCAATACCTCATAAATTATTTGCATATGGTTTTTGTATTAAAAAAAAAGGAGCAAAAAAAAATAGGTCTTAAGTACAGGTCAAGAAATTTTAGCACTATTACCTTTCTGAAGAATTCTCAGAGACTAAGAATTTAAAATTTACTTATCCACTTTTTTTGTCGTCTATTTTTTTTTTTCCTTGATCATATCTTTCTTACTGTGTTCACACAATCGGCATGCTCTCATTTTTTTTTACTAATTTATCAATTAAAAAATTTGTCTCAACAAAAAAAAATAACAGTCTGAAAAAAAAACATTAATGATACATTTTTGAGCTGATAAAGTTTTTCAATCTCAAAATAAATTTGACACTGCTTAACAACTTTAAAATTTTTCTTGTTGTCAGATAAAAAATTCAATAATATTTAAGGCTTTTCCAGTTGATTCATATTTGTTCGCAAATGTAAATTTTTATTAAGAATCAAAAACTGCTGAAATATTCTATAAGCCATTATTTCGATACACAGTTAAAAAATTATTGCCTTTCAATGTTGTTTAAAAACAAATTGAGGAAATAAAGATTATGCGTGGATTCAAATGTTCACTTTTTGAAATATTTTAAAGCATTACTTTTGATACAGCTATAAATCAACCAAATTTTTGGTCAGTTTTTTGCCTTCAACGTAACCGCAAACTGCATTTGCAGGTTTTATAGTGAAACTGCATAAACGACTACCAACTGATCTATGATTCTTTTCTCTTGTTTCGTTTTTTTTTTTTTTTTTTTT